GCAGTCTGCTCCTTTCCTACATCCGTTGTTCTCTACTTGAGAGTACTACTCTCATTTAATTTTAAGTGCCACTAAAGTTGTACTGTTAGTAATCATTTTAATGAACAACATAAGTGAGTGAGCAGTTAAATCAATGTATCGGAGATGAAATCTTAATTAAAGCAGTATTTAGCCATGGGAAGTGAGAGTTTTATAATTTATTTTCTATTAAGATGTTGACTGTTTCACTGAAAGCAATTATTTTGTGTTTTTAATTGCAACATGAAAGCCACACTGAAGTTACATTTCTGCATCTTTCTGCTTTCCTCCCATGGATATCCACCATTCTCATATTTAAAGGCCCATTTTAAAGGGCTAGTGCCAAAATGTCTGCATTACTTTTCATTGTTCTTGAGATGCTTTTTGCACCTATTGCAGCTCAGGCTGCAATGGGCTGGTTAGGATACCTTTCTTGAATTTTACTAAGGAGTAAACATTCAGGTAGGATTAAGGATGATTATGCATATTTAAAATCACTTTTTCTGAATAGCCCTAAGAAGACTGGAACTGTTTTCATTTGGGCTGCAGATTTAAAAATCTGTGTATGTGACTCTGCACTTAAATTTGTGCTTACTCAAATGCAAGCACATAAATCATATGTGCAGACTTTCTGAAGATGTCCCTGGTCATTGCGAGGGGTGTGTGTGTAGAAATGACCTTTAAAGGTCATTTCTAACCTGAACTAGTCTATGATTATATGAATTCAGGGCATCAGGAAATGGCTCTGTACATTCACAGTTAAGGTCTACATACGTAAACATGCAAAAAGTGTTATGTAAATTTGAATTTACCCTTCTGAAGACATGGCTGTAATGGTCCTTGAGCTCTTGCTATTGTATATGCTTTTTGCTGCTGGAGGACAGAGCACCACAATAGTTTTCTCTTCCCTCTCCACCCACTGGATAATTTTGCGCTCAGCAGGATAAATGCTTCTTACAGAACTACATGAGCAAGGACCATTAACTTCCCTCAAGAACAGTGGATGAAGATGAGCCACCCACTAGATTTTCAGAGCTCTTTATGCACTCAAAGTGGTGCGCAGGCACACAAAGCTCCCATCAAATTTCCCATGTTCCTGTAAGGAAAGTAGTTATGCCCCAGAGAAATATAGCAGATACACGATGGAAAGTTACATATGAGAGTTTTTAGGTTCCTCTGTGGTCTTGAACAATTAAGTTTTGAAGGATTAAAATGCTTTTCAATAGGTGTGAAGTCTCCCAGGTGAAAAATACAGTGGCTATTAGCTAGTTTCATTTTTTGTTTGTTTTTCCCTCCTCCTTCTATTTGGACTATTTTATTTAGCTATTCTATTTTATTATATTCTATATAATTCTATTTTAGCTTTAAGCATGAAAATTCCTTCTCATGTCATTTTGGATGCATTACAGTTTGTAGATACCTTGAAGTTGAACAGGTGGCTTCCAGACTGGAAATCAGAAACTTGTGCTAAGTGCCTTCACTGCTCTTACAGTGCCTGGGGGTTAAGTGTATCTGCATAGAATCCAAATAAATTCTTACACCTCTAAGAAGTTAGGAAAGAGGCAATCTACCCTGGCTGTGTTTTAGAGGACTTTCACATTGCATTTGATTATCCTGTTATTTTGCATTCCTCAAAGCTGGAGGGTAAAGTTTCAGATGAGCTTGGGTAGAATTTAGTTGTTCAGCTGCTCAAACTAGTGCTCTTCTGGGTGTTCGTATGGGCGCTGCTTTAGAGACCTGGAGAAATGTCACACTTAGATATAAATGATTTTTCTGGATCTTCCATTATTAGTTAGCAACAGAGCTCAGAGTTAAGATGTGATTTTTACATTTAGGTACTTAAAAGTCTTACCAAATTCAGGCCTTGAATTATTTTTATTTTTATGTTTGCCAACATACCATTATTTCACATCCCATAATTAATTTTCTCTACCATGATCAGTTAATCAGTATTCTCTATTTTTTTCTATAGACTTAACTAAACTGAAACCTTCATCCGTAAAGTTTTCTATTTCTTGTCTTTAAAACCATTACATTAGTAAGGAATTGATCAAATAATCTCAAAAGCAGATGTGCAAGAACTCACAATTCATCTTTTTAATATGGAAAGTTAACCACTCTGACAGTAGTCGCAAGCAGTTTTCTAAACATGGCATTACTGTCTGACTCACCCCCTAACTATGCAGCTCCTTTAACAAATAACTGGTAGCCTTAAAAAGGGTTTGAAAGACAGTGGATTATGTAGCCCTGTTCTTCTATTCACAGACTCATTAAACACCACTGAAGAAGTTAGAAGCAGTGGTTTTCTCTGCAGAAGCCGTTCTGGTCTGGGCCCCTTTAATAAAAACAGCAGTTTAAATCCTACAGCTTTGCTTGTACATTAAACATTGTTTAATTTGCTCTTTCTGAGGTGATGCCTAGCAGGCCTGAAATGCCACTGCTGACCCCTTTCTTCATCTCTGTGCTTTGTTGTTTTTTTTTTAAAGACACCCCTCCTACTCTCAGTAGAAGATGATGATTCTAACTGATAATTTAAATATTGCTGTTAGGTCAGCTGTGTCAGTACCAAGTGGCTGATGAGTATCAGGAGGCCTTGGTAACTTACGGTCACCTGGATCAGCATCTCCTCCTTTTGACACTCATTTAGGTAATTTCCTCTGTTTTTCTTCAATGTCTTCTTTTCCATTTTGCAGTTTTCCTGCATTGCTTCTTTTGTTCCTTTGAAGCACAGACAATTTGAGATGATTCATTGTCCTTCAAGTTTTCTTCTGTTAGTTAAAGAAGTTTTACTATTTTTACAGGATAGCAAGCTATCCTGTTTGATTCTCAGTACTTTAACACCTAAGTTTCCTTAAGTATTTTACTTACTAATTCAAAAAAATCATTCTCTAGTTTTGTAAGGGGTAGAATTCTATTTTTTACATTAAAGTAAAAGGAAAATTCAGATTTAGGACTATCTGAAACCAGCTTGTCCTGATATAATCTTGTGTCATTTGAGAAACCTCACAGGTACAAATTTTATTTTAAATTCTTTTCGATGACACTTTAATGTGCCTTAGTAGTCTAAACCCAGAAAAATCAAATGAAAAAATGTATTTTCGCAGTATCCATGTTACCTGTTATTTTAGCTGTAATCTTCCACCTCTTTCAGTGCTAGCTAGCTGCTGGACCTACACAGGGGTGAAATTAAATGTTTATAAATCAATGCTCCAAGCTGCTCACGTAGAATAAAGATGCCTTGTAATCCTGTAAGTACCCTTAAACTTCTTGCATCAAACTTTCTCAGTATTCATATTAATTGCTTAATTTATTTTAGTGACAGGATGAAATTTTATAGACTAGTAAAGACTTTTAATGGCTCCATAAACATCAGAATGCAAAGGCATATGAAGTGTTCATTACACATTTTGCAAAATGCGGTCAATTTGACAGTTCAATTCATAAAAGAAACCTAAGGATTGTGATTATTTTCAGGGAAAAAATATGGAGAGGAAGGGACTTGGGAACAGGCTGTGCTTGTTTTCTTGCTGAGGGGGACAGCAGTCATATTCCTTGGAGCCAGGGCCACCAGCTGCAGCAGGGGAGCTGCTTCTACACTTACTCTGTAATAAATGCATATTCTCTCCTCTGAGCTCATGTCTTTGCCATCATGATAGGATGCTGCCTGCAGTGTTAATCCACCAATAAAGAGACCTCAGGTCATACACTAATATGTGCTTTTACCTTCTGCCAGTACCCCCAAGGCTGGCTATTAATTTTCAAGTCGTTGAATTTTCACTTAATGCACTGCAGCTCTCTGAAGCGTGGTGAGTTCCTTTAACCATTAAAGCGCTATAAGATGTATATATAAAATAACCATATGAAGATGTGTAAAGCAGGAGAGCCCAAACCAAAACACTGCCTTTTGTCGGAATAACCACCGAATGGGGAATTATTTACATTTCTGTGCAGATACATCTTGACTCGGAGAATGACGATGAATAGGATGACTATAACACGTTTTGCTCCTTATGCTGAGAATCACACAGCACAGGTTACTCTCGGAGTTCCCCGATCGAGAGCTGCAGGCGGGACATTTCCGGGGCCGGGGAGAGATTCAGGGGCCATCCAACCCTGAAGCCGTGCAAGGACATAGGCTCTATTTAGGCGCTAGTCCCAGCGGGACTTTACCGCCGGTCCCAGCGGGAGGGGGCTGCAAGCGTGAAACCTCTGCGCCTCTCCGCCGCCGAGGATGCTTTTCGTGCCTCGGGGTTGTTTTTTGTGTGAGGTTTAGGGTGTGGGGGTTTTCTAGCTGTTTTCCCCCGTCGAATTCCCGAAAGAGACAGGAAAACGGAGCAGCAAGGAGGAAAATGAGAAGGGAAGAGGAAAAAAAAAGGGGGGGAGGGGGGGAAGGAGGGAAAAAAAAAATATATATATATCGATTTGCAGGTTGTAGCAAGCCCCGGCACGTTTCACTTCATAGCGCAGCACCGTGCACCGACCGCTTTCTTCCCCCTTCCTCCCCCGGGGGCGCTCCGCGGCCGCGCAGAGCAGCGTGCAGCCTTCGGGCTTGCGCGACTTTCGTTTCTAGGGTGCGCGGAAGTCCCGCGGTTGCACTTGCGCACTGAATATGCCGCCTGCTTCCAGCACAGCTTTGGGGACCATGGCTGGAGGGGTGGGCCCCTTCTCCTGGGGACAGACGAGGGGCCGGAGGGTGCCCCCTTTCCCGCGGCTGGTGCCACCCTCCTCAGAATCGCAGTCGTGCCGGACGCGGGGCCGCGCAGTCCCCCGGATGCCCGCGCACAACCCGCGGCTCTTCTCCTCCCGCCTGCGGCTCCCCTTTGGCAGGGTAGAGGGGCTGCTTCTCAGGCTGCAAGCCACCCTCTCAGTAGCTTTAAAAATACAAAGATTCAAACACATATATACGTAAATACATATTTAACATTTATATTTTTGTATATAAATGAGATTTATCTCCCTCTTTGGAGAAAATAGCAAATCAATGCCGCCCTTTCTCCCAAGCATGTTTCCCTTCTAGTAAAGGAGGCTCCACCTCTGCTAGGGATTGATTCGCCCAGCAATTTTTAGGATAATTTATGGAGCAACCTGATGAGCCTATTGGGCGAGTTGCTCGGTCCTTGTAGAGTGGCTTCCTACCTGTTTGGGTGCTTGATTTTTTATTTAATTTCCCCCTTCCCCTCCCCTCCCTCTGCCTGCCGTGTGCCGGTGGGGGGGGGAGAACGGTGGGATTGGCAGGGTCGCTATTCCCCAGCCTCTCCGGAGAAAACTCGGGGACGGGAGAGGGCCTTCCCGCTCATGGATACGTGGGGGGGGCCCGCTCCCCGCTGGAGCCGCCGCCGCGGAGCCCGGCTGCTGCTGCTGCTGCTGACCGTGCGGCTGGGGAGCGGGTGAGTACAGCTGGGACCCCCGTACCGGCACCGCCAGCACGCTCCCGCCGGGTCTCCGCTACCTGCGCATCGCGCCCCGGGCTGGGGGAAGGGGACGGGGAAGGGACGGGGAAGGGGAAGGGGACGGGGACGTGGACGTGCTACGCGGTAGCCAAACTTAAAATAAGCCCAACAAGGTGCCGGTGCTACGTCGGCGGCTCCAGCGGGCGGCCGCGGGGGAAGCTGGCACCAGCAAAGTAAAAGTTCAGCCGCATCCCACTTGTTCGCTGTGCGAGTTGGTGAGCCCGGGCTCCGCTTGGCGCAGGGAGGGGAAGGCTGGAGCTTAGCTGGGGTGCGGCTGAGGTGCTGCTGGTTTCTCGGCAGGGCCTGGCCCAAGAGCCGGTGCCGGGTGGGGGGTACAGTGCTCCCGGTGCCGTTAGTTCCTGACTGTGCAGCGGGGCGTGCTGCACGGCACCGCCTTGAGCCTCCGCATCCTTGGGAGGGAGACGGTGCCGGGCAGCTGCTCAAGTCCCAGAAGTTGGAAACGGGCATTTTGAGGGAGATTTGTAAAATTGATCCGGGGGACTCTGGAGAAACAACAATTGGGTACCGCTGTGTAAATGTGTGATTAGTACCCGTAATAACGAAGAGCAGTCTGATCATTCAACTCCATTAATAATTCAGAGATAATGTGAACCATTCCACAGGTTATACTCTCATAAAAATCACAAAGCAGCACTGAAAGAGCATTTGACTGTTCTCAGTGTGACTTTCTTTTTAATGATAGACTAAATTATCATTCTAAGAGGGTATGCAAATGTGTAGTAAAAAAAAAACCAAACCCATAAAATGCATTATAACATCTTTTTAAGTCCATCGTACTCTAGACCCCTTCCCCATACTGAATGATGATTTATCAGTCTGTATGTGTTGATCTCAGCTCATCTCTCATCTTCAGAAGGCTGCTATGTTAACCTAGTCAGGAACACTACTGATTGTACTTTTCTTCATCTCTCTGTCTTTTAAACCCTTGGTATGTTATGGAAATGTTTTTTCAGAATCATTGATGCAAATGATACCAGTGCAGCTGTGCATCTTCAGAATGCTTCTTAATGAACATATTGTACCTCAGGTATGAAAGAAATTATCCAGTGGTTTGAGAAAAAAGAATACAAATGCTAATTTGTCAGTCCAGAGGCTTAGTTACAAAGGAGGAGGACTGGCTGGAAAAAAAATAAAGTAATTTTTGTTTGTTTGTTTAAGTGTGGTTGTGATTACAGGACTGGGTGTAGGTTATTATGTATGCATCTCATTAACAGTAGCATTCATAAATAAGTTGGTAAGAAGTCTTCAGGAAGAACAAGAGGTGACTTACTTGCATTATTTTATTGAACAGCTCAGATAAAATGGAATCTTTGATATAAACATTTGTATATCTGAATCAACTATTTTCAGGCTGCCTTTCGTTCAGAGGCTACATTGGAAAATGGTGGTTGAGAGATTTTTCTCTTTTGCGACTTTTTTTTTTTCAAGTGACCGTAATGTTTTTCAGATGCTGATTCTCTGGTATGTAGTGCATTACAACTCAGGGGTGTTCACAGAGATCTCAAAAGCTCTAGCACCCTTTAGAAGCCTGCCACAAAGTAGGATGGAAATGCTATTTTTCTGCCTTTTCAGTTCCTTTCTGTAGTTTCAGCCCAAGCTTTTCCTTGATGTTCAAACTAAAACACAGAAGTAATGCTTTTCTGAAGAATAGACCATATTGCACCAATTCTGTGGTTTTGTTTTTGTTTTTTCTCTGAAAACACCTTGCAGGAGCCAACCCACCTTTTCAACACATACTTTTGCTGGTATGCGTTTATACACAAAGTACCTTGCGTGGAGTATGAGTAAAGTTACTTAATGCATGGAGCTAGAGCCTAAGCAAGCACACTGAATGTTGAGTCCAACCAAGAGTTTATCCGTTTAATGTACTGCCCCCAGACATGTAGTGTGACATTAGACTGAACTTCACCAGAGGCATTCACTGCAGTTGAACTCTGTCCCATAAACCAGTTGTCTTCCCCAGTTGTGCACATGAAGCACAAACAGACCAGAATATTGAATGCACTTGATGTCACTTTGTGAGACAGTATGTTGAAGTACTGGGTTTTTTTTTGTCTATAGTTGACATCACTTCTGTAGCAGAAACTGGAGTGTGAGCCTTTCTACAAGGTATGTTCAGGAAAAGAGTAGTTAGCTAGCAGTCACTTCAGTCCTAAATGTTCAGCAAAGTCATTATTCTTGTTTAACTCCAGTAAACAGATAATTCATAGGGAGAGCATAAGAGCTGACAATATGATTAATTTTATTTCCTTAATTCTAATCATACAGGTGCAGTGTAACTAGAACATTTCTTCTGGTTTATACTGCTTTAAATGGTATGTGCTGGTCAGCATGCCTAGTAGTATATTGTAAGCTTAACTTAATTTTTGGCCATATTCTCCTTTTAGTTTTGTAACCTTATGTTCTAAAAAGCAGTTCTAAATGATCCATTGCAGTGTAACTGTCAGCAGGTGCAAATATCAATATTTTCTTTTTCATTTCAAAGTATCTCTTAGGTAGATACTTACATAATATGGCCTACGTTTTCTTCTCATATGAATTCCTGGATGAGAGTTAAGCCTTTCATAACAATATGGGTTTCTTTGTGCTTGATAATAGTGATTTACTGTTTCATTTGAACATCTATGATGTTTATTCATTATTATCCTCACTCTTACATGATTTGTTCACAATGTGACAGTGAATAACTTGTAATTTAGCAGTGCCAGTGTTTTAAAATAGTTTATTTTTTAAAAAAGTTTATTAATATTCTTTTGTTACTGTAAAGTTTAATGAGACATAACTATTGAGAAATACTTATATTGTTTGCACATAACTTTCTTACAATGGATTCAAAGGAAGCCTTCAGGCCATGGCAGTCCATTAGAAAAAGGGCTCTTACAGCAAATTGAGTTACATTTTCAACTACTTTTAACTTTATGCTTGTTAAATATGCCTGATATTTAATAAGAGGTATCAAAGATGCTTGCTGCCAATTCAGGCCTTTCTGAGCTGGATAGAAAGGTTACAGGTGAACACTTGTTGACTTTGGTCAACTTTTTTCTGGATACGTAAGTCTGGCCACAGTGTAAGTTACCAGGCAATTGGCAGATCTATGATTTTTCTTCAAAGCTGTAGAGGAATTGTGATAATCTGATTAGAATACAACACCTAGATTCTATGGCCACTAGGTAGGTCTACTTAAATGGACATGGCATATGCACTTTTTGAAGGTGAGCTGCCTTGGCTTGTACTGTCATATATATACATATATGATTGATGGCCTGGCTACGTGAGTGAAGATTTGGGAAGGGCTTTAACCATGCTTACTGCAAGCACGATGACCAAAGGCATGTGGGATATGCAAATCTGGTTGGAGCAGAATTCACCAAGCGCTGGATTGTTCACCCGCTAATAGGGAACATGTGCTGGGATATACATATATATACACACTAAAAAAGCCATGAATGTTGAATGTGCAGCAGATCAAAGGTGAGCATCTCCCAAGATGGGCAAAGAGCCATTTTAGCAGTACCACTTATAAAAGAAGAGTACTAGAACTTTAGTTACTTCTTTAGCCCTTTCTTGCACCACATACTCAATTGAGCTTGTACTTCGGTAAAATAACTATCATAACTTATTTGGTAAAAAGCAGTAGAGAGAAAGTGGTAATTATAAATGACAGTATAAATGTCAGCACACTGACAGGAACCTTTCAAATGATGGTTGATGAAAGTAACACTAATTTTTATTCCTTCACCATTTCTGTGAATGGTAATATTTTGTAAGGAGAAATTCAGATGCAGTTGAATTAACCTGGAGATGACATGGAAGTTCCAGTTTTGCATTTTTTACACATGCAAAGGCTTTTAATAACACTGAAAATAGTGTGGTGAGTTCAGTGGCCTACTGGCCTATGTAAAAACTTGATCTACATATCTAAACTTAAAATGGTAAATCGTGCAACAATACTGAACTATTGGAAGTAACTGGAGAGACTAGAAAGGTCATCAGGAATTGACCAGAACAGAACCTTCTTCAAAGAAGAGGAAAATCTGAAGTGTTATGACAAAGATGGAAAGAAGTAGTTTCTAAAACATGCTTTCATTGGTGGATGTGCAAGTCAGTGGGGTCTGTTGTGATAATCAGTCTGTTCCCAGAATAAACAAAATTGGAGATTTTACCCTGGCTTGTGCATCAGGTTTGTTGCTTCAGTATAACTGTAAGTCCCTGCGTAGAAGTATTGTACAGTATTTCTAGTCTGTGGTTTCTCTGGCTTCTAGCCAGTGGATCTCCTGCCTTCTGCTAGGTGAAAAAGCCTGAATTTTTTTAATTTTTTTTTTTTCCCCTCAGTACCACCCCCTACAGCTGGCTCAGCCGCTGGATCCCATGTCCATCTCTTCATGGGGAAATCCAGGTCTTGTTTTGTATCTCTGGTTTGTGCAGGGCAGTCTCAGGGTGCACACCATGGCTGTCGCTGCTCTTCAGGAGTGGAGTGTGGTCTGCAGCCATCTGCTTTTTAACGCAGCGGATGTTATCATCAGAACTCTTCCTTGCCCTTATGTGCCTCTGCCAAGTTTTGCCTTGACATGAACTCAGAGCACCTCGAATGAATCCTGAAAATTCTTACAGAAAATCAGCAGTTTGGTCAGAAACCACCCTGATGCTGCCTTTCTCTTTCCAGATTAGTCTTTCATAATATGTTGTAAATTACTTGCTCGGAGAAACCTCCTCACCTCTTGGAAATGAGAAGCTGCAGTGCAGTTGTATGCCTAGCAGTTGCTGCAGGATAAATAATCTAGTCCAAAATGAAAGTTTTATATAAATGTGTCACAATTGGAGATACTCTGTACAAAGTGGAGATTCCCATTGAATTGGATTTATTCATACTACAGTTACACTACTACTAGAAGTATTTCCCTGGTATACTGTAGTTT